CCAGAAGCACATGAGGCACATGATGGACAGCTCATTCAGGCCAGCAGAGGACACTGAGGATGGACAGTTTAGATAACTGTCCTGGCCAAGCTCTGCAGCAAGTATCTGGGTCTGTGGATGCACGCTGAGGTGGACTTGCTCAAAAACAGACCTTGGAAAGATCTGCTCCATCTTGGTGCCATGAAGCTGAGATGTCTCAGAATTACCAAAGCCACTGACGTAACACCCTTGGAACACTCTTCCCTACACCAAAGTCTCTAAAGCATCATCAAATGACTGTCCCCCATCCCAGGGTGCTGACGCTGTTCGGACAGCACCCTTCCCTCCTTACAGACACAGGAGAAAAAAAAAAAAAAAACAGAATCTGTCCCAACCACCCTCCTTCATGCCTCAACCCTTCCCACCCTAATCAGAGACCCATATGTGCATACACCCTTCTCAATTATAAACAATGTTAAAAACAAGTAAATAGGAAAAAATAAGAAACAGCCAGGGAATGAGCAGGATCATGTACTGTTTTAAAAAATATGGCATCCAGCCCAGCGCAGTAGCCTAGCAGCTAAAGTTCTTGCCTTGCACGCACCAGGATTCTGTATGGACATCAGTTCACATCCTGGTGGCCCTGTTTCCCATTCAGCTCCCTGCTTGTGGCCTGGAAAAGCAATCAAGGACAGTCCAAAGCCTTTGGACCCTGCATCCATGTGGGAGACCCAAGAAGTTGTTCCTGGCTCCTGGCTTCAGATTGGTGCAGCTTCAGCCATTACAGAGTGAATCAGCAGATGGAAGATCTTTCCGTCTCTCCTCCTTTCTGCATATCTGACTTTCCAATAAAAATAAAATAAATCTTTTTAAAAATATATGGCATCATCACAGAGAATGCAGAGTTTTGTTTTTTTATATTTGGCTTAGTGATTAAGACACCAGGTAAAGGGCCAGCATTATGGCTCAGCTGGCTAATCCTCCGGTTATAAGTGCCGGAATCCCATATGGACACTGTTTAGTGTCCTGGCTGCTCCACTTCCCATCCAGCTCCCTGCTTGTGGCCTGGGAAAGTAGTCAAGCACAGTCCAAAGCTTTGGGACCCTGCACCCACGTGGGAGACCTGTAAAAAGCTCCTGGCTTCGGATTGGCTCAGCTCCAGAGTTTTAGCCACTTGGGGAGTGAATCATCGAATGGAGGGTCTTCCTCTCTGTCTCTGCTCTTCTCTGTTTTTTTGCAATAAAAATAAACAAATCTTTTAAAAAATCAGATTTATTTTATTGGAAAGTCAGATTTACAGAGAGAAGGAAAGACAAAGATCTTCTATTCACTGGTTCACTCCCCAAATGACCACAATGACTGGAGCTGAGCCTATCTGAAGCCAGGAGCCAGGTGCTTCTTCTGAGTTTCCCATGTGGATCTAGGGGCCCATGTAGTGGAGCCACCCTCCATTGCCGCTCCAAGCATGTTAGCAGGGAGCTGAATCAGAACTGAAGCAAATGGCACTCAAGCCATTGCCCATATGGTATGTCAGTATACTGCAGGTGGCAAATTAACTCACTACACCACAGTGCCAGCCCCACAAATAAATAATTTTTTTTTTTAAAGATTTATTTTTTATTATTTTTTCATTGGAAAGGCGGATATACAGAGAGGAGAGACAGAGAGGAAGATCTTCCGTCCGATGATTCACTCCCCAAGTGAGCGCAACGGGCCGATACTATGCCGATCCGAAGCCAGGAGCCTCTTCCGGGTCTCCCACGCGGGTGCAGGGTCCCAAAGCTTTGGGCTGTCCTCGACTGCCTTCCCAGGCCACAGGCAGGGAGCTGGAAGGGAAGCGGGGCTGCCGGGATTAGAACCGGCGCCCATATGGGATCCCGGGCGTGCAAGGTGAGGACCTTTAACCACTTGCGCCACCGCGCCGGGCCCACAAATAAATAATTTTTAAAAAATAATAGTAATATGGTGGAGGGGTAAGCAGAACATGCTGGGCACAGACCTGTCTTGAGCAAAGGTTAAGAGCACAGTCTTGGGCTGACACTAAGTGCCAGCAAGCCATGCTGGCACCAGTTTGAGGCCTGGCTGCTGTATTTCCAACCAAGCTCCCTGCTCATGTGCCTGAGAAGGCAGGCCAGAGGATGGCTCTGGTACTCGGGTTCCTATACCTGTGTGGGAGACATGGAAGAAGCTCCTGGCTCCTCACTTCAGCTGGCCCAGCCCCAGCAGCTGCAGCCATCTGAGGAGTGAACCAACCAACGGACAGAAGATCTCTCTGGAACAGTGCCTTTCAAATCAACAAATAAATTTATCTTCAAAAATAAATACATAAGCAAAGTACAGACTCTAAAATCAACAGCTTGGCTCCAGCGCTTACCAGTCATATGACGTTGAATAACACACTTAGCCACTATTAAAATGGGGACACCAAGGCTCTAATGAGAGGATGCTCATCCACCTGCCCCCAGCCTGCCTCCGTGGCGCCTGACCTACACATGGTCACCGGAAGATGCCCACCTTTTCACAGCGAAAGTTGAGATCTTTACAACGGGCCCCCACATCCAGGATGGGATAAAAGCCTTTTTTTTGCCACCTGCTTGCTAGGTTGGGAAGGACAGTAGGTTTCATTAAACCACCTGCTACAGTCCCTCTAAGTGACCTCTGTGGTCACCCTGACAACATACTAGCCTAGCCTGAACCTCAGACACCCAACCACTAAGCCTTCAAGGAGTCTCAGCTGACTTCAGTAAGTCCCTGACACGGGCACATCACAATCCATAAAAAAACAGAACATTTCCTCCAGAAAGTTCCAGAGATGGAACCCTAAGGGTCCTCCAGATCCGCCAGGGTCTGAGAACCAGGTTTCCACTCTGCTTCATGGAAAGCAAAGAGAAGCAAGCGGCAGGAGAGCACCTCGCTAGGGCCCAGCCTGGGATGCCCACAGCCCGTCTCTGTCTGCTTGATTCCCACATCTGCTTCTGGTCTGGATTCCCACACCTTGGGGGGCAGTAGATGACGGCTCATGTACTTGACTCACTGCCACCCGGGAGGGAGACCGAGATGGAATTCCAGCCACCTAGTTAGCAGCCTGGCCCGGTCCTGGCTATTGTAGACATTCGAGGAATGAATGAGCAGATGGAAGATCTCTCTGTGTCTGTCTCTCTCCTCTCTGCCTTTCAAAGTAAACAAAAATTTACAAATAATTTTTAAAAAAAACTTTAAAGGGAAGCAGGGGGTGAAGAAGGATGGATGAAATCTAGAGACGTGCCCAGCACTTCAGAATCACAGAGACAATGAACATAAAACACGCAAACCCCAGCTTCCAGGGAGTAACGTTAAGTCGGGATTTTCCAATGTGAAACAGTCCCTCTTCTAACTTCTCCAGTCTCCCCACATGCCTGCCTGCTGTCACCTCCTTGTTCCCTAACAAATGTTCCCTACTGGAAACTGCAACACGACCACAACATACGCGTCCTAGGACCCCTCCCTGCAGCATGGAGCTCCCGGGAGCAAGAACCCCGACCAGGATCTCTTCAAGTTTGGAAAAGCAAGTTTCAGTCCCAGGACAAGCCCTCCCTGGCTGTGTGACGTCCACTTTGGCTTCCTCAGCTGTGACCCAAGATGAAGACAGTGTCCTGGCTTGGCTTTGACCTTGAGCCCCAAGAGGCCAACTGACCCAGCAGCTGACCACCAGAGCCTGCAGCCGGGAGAGCCTCGCCTCCACCAAGTTGGATCTGGTACATCCCGGTTTTCTGGGTCTCCAAAGAATGGAGCAAGTGACAGCAGCTTTCAAGCAGCTCTACCACAACCCTCGCTGAGCACCAAGGGACAGAAGCCGGGCTTGATTTCCAGCCCCCCGTCTCTTAGACACCTGAACATGAGACAACCAACTGGAAGACAACAAACCAAGCCTCTGCCCTGCTTGCCAAGACTTGCTATCTAATGGCTGTTAATTGCATTAATCGCAGAGCTCTGAAATGTTAAGCTCCTCCTCCTCAAGCCAAGGGAGGGCAAGGGACATGAAACACACAGCCACCCCATGCCAGTGGCTGCACAGCTGGAGCCGCCCTCAGACAGTAGCACCAAGTGTTTAGGAAGTGGCTGGGTGCTAGGTCTTCCCTATGTGTTCCCCTGGGAACTGGGCAACCCTCCAAGCCACCCCACTCCAGGCCCTAGATCTGAAGGACAGGGCTCTGGACATGCCACCACGAAAAGGTACTTTGCTCCCAGCAGCAACAGCCTACAACATCACCCCATCACCCACGGCGGCTTGCAGCCTGGAGTCCACCACACAGAGCCTCAGAAATCTCTCCTCTGAACTGCAGGAGGCCACCCAATGGCAGGCCAGGACTACGAGGCCAGAACAGTATCACTGTTCCAGCCAGGACCCCCGGGGTCAACACCGTTGTCTTCCAGGACCCTCACCCCCATGGCTGTGTGAGGCCCCAGCGGGGCCGGACGGATGAGGGCTGGGAGCAGTACCCAGACAAGCCACTCAATTGTCAGAACAGGCAGATGCCAACCTCAGCGCCAAAGCCGGCCTGCAGCAGAGCCCCTGAGAAAGTGGGCTTCCCTCAGGGGACCCCCAGCCTTGCAAGCGGAGCCCAGAGGGCAGGAAGGCAGGGCTGTCGGGCTGGAGAGGAGGCCAGGGCAAGGAGCGCGACCCCTGCGGAGGCGGGGCTGGGTGTGCTCTGAGCCCCAGCGCCCACCACACCCTCCAGGCCTCCTCCACACGAGCACACATGGAACTTGCCCTCCGAGGCCGCGGACCAACTTTGTGCCGCGAGGGAGGCGCGCTGGGCCGGGAGCGGGTGAGAAGGCGGGAGCGCGGGGGGCTCTGGGCGGGCGCCCCACGTGGATGAAGAAGTGAAGCGCTGGCAGACGGCAAGCTGGCCGGTCCACGCTGACCACCAGCCCCCTCAGGGCCTGACGGTCCCACCGCCCCCGAGCTGGTGGGGAATCAGGAAAAACGGGGCTCTGCACCGCAGGTAGCCGACTCGCGGGACCAGGTGGCCCGGCCCTACCTGCAATTCCTGAAATTCTCCCTCCAGCTCGTGCCACTCGCGCTCGCAATGCTCCAGCTGCCCGGACATGGTGCAGTGGTGCAAGGCGGCGACGGCCGCGGCCGCTCCCGCAGCGTGGCCCCACCGGCCAGCAAGCACACCCCACGCCCGTGCGCTCGCCGGCCGCCTTCCGAACACCAGCTGTTCCTGCGCAGCCGGAGCCACGCGCGCAGCCGACGTCACGGGCCCCGCCCCGGCCCACGCCCACCCCTCGCCCGAGAGGCGGGGCCGCGCACGCGCTGTCGCCCCCGCGGGCGTCTCCGCGGCCTGCTGGCGTGCGCGCTTGTTCTCGTGCGGCGTCCGCGGGTCTGACAGGGCTGGAGCGGTCGGCGACCCTCTGGAGGCTCCTCCGCTCCTGGGGTGTAGTTTGGAGGGAACATTTATGAAGCGAGAGCGGATCCGGCCGCTAACGTTGTCGAACCCGAGCCAAGGCGGAGGGCGCCGAGGGCGGGCGCTGACTGACCGCCCGGCAAGGTCGGGATCGTGCGAGCAGGAGCTGACCGGGCGCTGTCTCCTTCGAGGTCTTGTTATTCACGGCGACGGACGCGTCCTGGACTCCAGACCTCCGCGGCTTCCGGCGCTGCGAGCTCACGGATGCCCTGTGCCTGGCTTTCCAGTCAGAGCTTCCTTCCACCCCGAGTCGCTGACGGTGCTCTGTCCGACCTTGCAGCGGGGCGTTGTTGCCACACCCCCACCTGCGGGCCTGCCCCACGGCAGGCATCCTGATTTCCAAACAAGGTCATATTCGGCAGCGTAAAACATTTCTGAGGGATACTGATCAATCAAAACATAGTCCTCTGCCTGTCGGGCAGGGCTAGATCCCAGTACCTGATAGTGTGGGATCAGGGGATAGGTCACATTAGAATGGGTAGTGACACCAACCAGCACGCAAGAGAACCAAGTCCGGGGGTAGATTCTGTGGGGGATATGTAGGCCCAACCCTATGGAATTAAAAATCCCACTGGTTAGCTTGAGAGTTGGGATAGTGATGGGCTGAGCTAGGCATGAGATGGTGATAGGCTGAGCTGGGCATGGAACTCACTGATGCTTGCTGGTACTGGGGCTGGGAACAAGCGGGGTAGGTCCAGGCTGCAGCACCCACATGAGCACCCTAAAGCAGGTGTAGGGTGAGCCGGGCTGCACCAGCTTATACAAAGGCCGGGGTAGATAGGGCCGGCCTTGTCGGGTAACGGCCTAGCACCCACTGGCATGTATAAGATCTGGGTCTGGGAGTGGCCTGAATGGTAGAACCTGGGAAACTGCTGGGGTTCAATGAATCCGAGCAAGACTCCAAGGTGAGTGAAATGATTTTAATGTCTAGTCCAAGGGGCAACCTCTTGCCATAAACAAGAAGCGCCCCGAACAAAATAATCATGGGGTTTTTATAGTGAGAGAATCAAAAGCTATGTGACAGTGAGTAAGTACATGATTAGGGGCTAACAGTGACACAAAACAGAAAGCATACGACAGGAATTTACAACATATAGGCTTGGGGGTCCTGATCGTATCACTTCAACGCAAACAGTAATAAAATAGCATTCCTCTTTTCCATTAATCCAAAAACTCCAAGGTTATCCTTATCTCCTGCCTGCATCCTGGCCTCTCAGGAAGCAGGAGCTCTGCTGGGAACAGGATGCAGGTGTCTCTCTGGAGATTCCAGACTTCCAGGAGTGCAGTCACCTTTATGCCCTCTCAGGGAATTCCCCTGGTGGGGCATAGCGCCCACTGATGAGCACGTGGTCCAGGCCTGGGTGTAGGGCAGGCTAGGCAGGGCAGCTCCATCCATCAGCAAGTGTGTGAGTTGGTTTTGGAAGGGGGGCAGACTGGGCAGAGCTGAGTAAAGTATAGCCCACTGGCAAGTGCAGAAACCAGGATGGCGAACAGGTCATGCTGGACTAGGTTGCCATACCTACTGCTTTGCATGAGCCAGGGATGAAAGCCTACTGAGCAGGGCTAAGTTGCAGCACCCACTAGCAAGAGTTAGAACGGGACTGGCTGGGCCAGGCCGGGATGCAGCATCTAAAGACAAAGGCCAAGACAAGGGAGGGACTATGCCAAGGTAGGTGAGAGCAACCACTGGCCTGCATGAGAGCTGTGGCTGGAATCAGGCCTGGTTGGGGAGCTAAGGGGACACCCTGACCGGGTTGTGGGTCCAGCTGATGAGTGCAGGGGCTGGAGTGGAAGCTACAGTCTGGTTTGGACGTGGCTGCAGTCTCCCTCAGCATGGGTGTGGACTGGGTCTGGTGTGTGTCAGACTGGGCTATACTCCAGCATCCACTGGTGATCGTGAGAACCAGGGTGGGTGTAGAATGGACCAGGCTAAGTCTCTGCCCCCTTCTGAGCCATGTGTGAGCTGTGTCTAGGTGTGGACTAGGCTTGGCTGGGCTGTAGCACCCAACAGTAAGAACCAGAATGGGTGAGGGCCAGTCAGGAAAGGCTACTGTTCTTGCTACGACATGAGGTGGACTAAGTAGGGCTGGCCAATGGGTGTGCAACATCTGGCATTGGGAGAAGTTGTGATGGAGGAGCTTGGGAAAACCCTCTGTCAGGACACAGTCCCTGCAGGTGAGCACAAGAACCAAGAAAGAGAGCCCGGCATGGTGGCCTAGTGGCTAAAGTCCTCGCCTTGAACGTGCCGATGGGCACCGGTTCATATCCAGCAGACCCACTTCCCATCCAGCTGCCTGCTTGTGGCCTGGGAAAGCAGTTGAGGACAGCCCAAAACCTTGGGACCCTGTGCCAGCATGGGAGACCCGGAGGAGCTCCTGGCTCCTAACTTTGGATGAGCTCAACTCCAGGCATTGCGGTCACTTGGCTGTTTCTATTCAAATGGGACAGTCATTGTAGAACTCCAGTTGGGTCTGTGAGGACAACCTGGCTCCGGGTTCTACACCTTTGGCAGGAATGTCACAGAAACACCGGGCTGTGTTCTCATGGCAGCTGATCCGCGGCACAGATCTCATTGTTTCCCGAGACTGGCAGTGCTCCCATTGTTTAAGATCATGGTTTGTTTTTTCTTTTTAATATCTTCGTGATAATGAATGCTTTTTTAAGATTTATTTTTAATTAAAAAATATATATATTAGAAAATCAGGTATATAGGGCCCAGTGGATTGGCCTAGGAGCTAAAGTCCTTGACTTGAACACACCAGGATCCCATATGGGCACAGGTTCTAATCTTGGCAGCTCCACTTCCCATCCAGCTCCCTGCTTGTGGCCTGGGAAAGCAGTTGAGCACAGCCCAAAGCCTTGGGACCCTGCAGCCACGTGGGAGACCTGGAGAACTCTCTGGGTCCTGGCTCTGGATCGGCATAGCACTGGCCATTATAGTCACTCAGAGGGTGAATCATTGGACAGAAGATCTTCCTCTCCATGCCTTATACCATGCCTGGCCCTCTGTAGTTACTCTTACTCCCCCTTGTGATGTTAAAGTTTGTTTGTTTTGAACCAAAAAACATTCCGACTATTGTAGTATTCTGTACTTCATCACAGTTGTAACTTATTTATACACAAGTTTCCCTATGTTAGTGAGTTACAATCCATTACTATAACTATGTACTTTTTTTCTTATTTGAGTGCCACAGAGAAATCTTGCGTCTATCCACTCACTCTTCAAAAGCCTGCTATGGCAAGAGGAGCAAGTGAGGAACCCGGGACTCATCCTGGGTTCCAAGTCTCCACATGAGTGCTGGACGTCCAACCACCCGAGTGTCCACTAGTGCCCACCCTGGTCCCTGTGGGCAGGAGCTGCAAGAGGCCCTGATGAGACAGGACGCAGACATCCCAACTGCTGGGCAGGAAACCCGTCCTTCAGGATGCATTCTGATGCCCAAGCTCTCAGACTTCACCTTGGAATCCCTTTAAGCTGGCTCCCCTTCCCCATTATTCTTTGAATATTTCCTGACCCGGAAGAAGCTCTTGGTTCCTGGCTTCAGACCAGCTCAGCTCCAGTTCAGGCACTTGGGAAGTGAACCAGCACATGGAGGATCTTTCTCTCTGTGTCTCCTTCTCTCTGTAAACCTGCCTTTCCAATAAAAATAAATAATTTTTTTTGAAAAAAAAAAAAAAAAAACCATGTTCAAGAACAGACAGACAAGACGCCCATGTTGATGTCGGAGTGCGTGGTTTCCTGTGAGCTGCACTCCTGATTACACACCAGGGGAGCAGTCATGAGGGACTCACGTGGGAGACCCCAACTGAGCTGCTAGTTCCAGAATTAGGCCTGGTCCAATCTCGGCCCCTGAGTCATCTGTGGAACAAACCAGTGGATGTAGCCCCCCGCCCAAGAAAAAGAAATAATGAAGCAACAAGAAAAAAGAATGGCGTCTGACAGTTTCCCAGCCAGGCCATCCTGACCAGGCTTTTCAGCAGGATATCGGGGACCGCTGGGACTCTCCCCAAGGCAGCTGAAACCTTGGGCCACTTTTCAGGGTTTTGTTTTGTCTTTCAGGCTACACGTTAAACCCTGCTTCCTCCTGCCATCTGCTGGCAATTTCTTAGAATTTCTAGTTCTGCCAAAAAGAGGTGAGAGATTTGTTCCTGAGGATTTACTAGAAGATACTTTTCTTACCCCACCTGAAAATTTGACACAGAAAATATCAAGAAGAAAAGTAGAGGGCTGGTCCCAGTGCGGTGGCCTCAAGGCTAAAGTCTTTGCTTCACAAGCACCACATGGACACCGGTTCTAATCCCAGCAGCTCTACTTCCCATCCAGCTCTCTGTTTGTGGTCTGGGAAAGCAGGACTCTGTACCTGTGTGGGAGAGTTGGAAGAAGCTGTGGGCTCCTGGCTCTGGATCAGCTCAGCTCTGGCCATTGCGCCTGATTGGGGAATAAATTGACGGACAGAAGATCTTCCTTTCTGTGTATCTGACTTTCTAATAAAAATGAAATAAATCTTTTTTTAAAAAATAGAAGGGCCCGGCGCGATAGCATAGTGGTTAAAGTCCTTACCTTGCACACGCTGGAATCCCATATGGGTGCCGGTTCTAATCCCAGTAGCCCTGCTTCCCATCAGCTCCCTGCTTATGGCCTGGGAAAACAGTCTAGGATAGCCCAAAGACTTAGGACCCTGCACCCACATGGGAGACCCAGAAGAGCTCCTGGCTCCTGGCTTCAGA